AGATCAACCAGCTATTCAACCGGTCATTGTTTCTTCTTTGCTGGCCCAGCGGGATGAACCTGGGGAGACCCCCAAGCACGGCTGGCCGCTGTTGGCCCCTAGCACTCGGTCCCCAAAGCGGTGCCTTCTGATGCATTTCCTGGCTGCTCCTTGCTTCTTCCCCAAAGCAAAGGGCCTTCCCCGGTTTCTCTCCACTTCACTGGACTTCCCCAAAGCAAAAGGGCCTTCCCCAGCTTTTCTCCACTTCACTGGAGTAGGAAGCGCTTCAAAAACACCCAGGAGGCTTCACTCTTTTATCTATGGGGAGCACATTCATCAGAGGAGGTTGCTAGTTTGATCTGAAAACTCCTAGCACCCCCCCACACACTCAGTCTCATGGTGGCCTTTCTGATTTTTCCATCCCCCGTGGCAGCCATTTTGTCTTTCTATCAAATCAGTCTCATTCTGTTCACAATATTCCCAAGCGCCCCCGGGTTCAGCAAGGTCAGGAGACTGTTTAGAGGAATGCTGCCTAAGGTTCCCTTAGAAGCCAATCGTTCTCCTTGGGCACCAATTCCGAGGGACGGGGAATGTCTAGCAGGTAGGGTTGCTAACTCCGGTGGGGTTGCTCACTCCAGGAATGGGAATTTCTGGAGATTTGGGGGCTGAGCCTAGGGAGGGTGGGACTTGGGGAATGGATGGAGCTCAGCCAGGTATACTGCCATAGAGTCCATCCTCCAGAGCAGCCATTTTCTCCAAGGGAACTGATCCCTGCCGTCTGAAGATCAGTTCTCATCCCAGGAGATCGCCGGGCCCCACCTGGACGTTGGCAACCCTCCTTAGCAGGGCAGAGGGCTGGCCTTTGTTTTAACTGAGCGACATTGTCTGGCAATCAGTTGGCCTTCATGGAAATGTTACCTAAATAGGCTGCTATTGAAAGATGGTAAAGACATCGAAATCGAATCGAAGACATAAATCATGTATGCAAATTTATCTGGAACCAGCTGCTTAACCGAGTGTTACACAGACATAAGTTTGTACGGACAGAAACTGGAAAGCAGGTATATCCCTTCAGTGAAACTAGGCGAGGATTCCTCAGCCCTGTCCACACGACAAACCTCTGTCAGTTTTGACTCGTGTAGCTGCCGTGGCTTTCCTCCAAGAGTCTGGGGCCACGTTGTTTGGTGAGGTGCAGACTGAACCCGTCCCAGAGCTTCAGATCGAAGGTTTACAGGGGAAGAGCACAGATGGGCATTCCGCTTTAAATCCGTCACACAGACATTCCCTGAACATGCTTGAAATGGAGGTTTGGTCACTTCCCTGACCCCCCCATCTCCTGTGCTCCTCCCCTTTGCGTAACAGAACAGCCTCACCGTTCATCTTTCTCCGTGTCCCCAAAACAAGAGATCTACACAAGCTGGGAATTCATCAATCTCACATGCTCCGTTTCCGACACACGAAATGTGTCAAGAGTCCAGTTTTTAAAGAATAGAATACAGCTGGCATTCCTTGAACCCGCATCCTCTCTGTTCACGCACTCCCTGCGCCTGCTTCCACAAG